TCTTTCTAAAGATAGCAGCCTGAGGCCTGCTATGTTAACTCTTTTCTGTATAGGTATCATGTTTTTCCAACCCCACATTATATACTCATGTATAGTTGGTTTTCCCTTTTAAAAAGCTTTTATTTTCCAATTTAAAGTATGTGAGGTTTATTTTTTTCTATTTATATATTAAGTATTTGCTTCTTAGATAAGAGACTAATATTTTTTCTTGCCTTCTACTTTCCTAAACATTTCAGGTTTTCTACAAAAGGTACGTATTGTTTTCACAATTGGAAAAATACAAAGATACCAGTTCTGGCGACATTAAAATTTTACTTACTCCTTTTAAAACAAACATTTGTGTCTGGAAAAGAATAATCATACTCTTACATTTTTCTTCATGTCAAAGTATTCTGTCAATAATTTTATTATTTTCAATGAAAACTTTTATAAGTGTGAGTTAATGCATTAACACTTGCATTACACACGGGTGAAGAATATTAGTCTAAAAGAAATAAACATGTATAATACGTTTCACCTGTGCTTGACTACTGTGGATGGTGGATACATGCTTAGAATTGAAAAGAAGATCATTAACAGTAGTTTGGCTCTCAGAGGCAAAAACAAGTTACTTCTAATACCTGCTTTATCAATGAGAACATTACATAAGTGATAGTTAAGTGGTCTACTGCATTCAAGGCAGGTCTCACCTTATCAGTAATTGAGCTAATCAATCCCAGAGATGCCTTTACTTTTCTACGACTGACAGTCTTCAACATGGAACAGCTGACAACAGAACCTATATAAGGAAAACTGAGGTAACCTGAAAGGCTTCAGGAAATATTAAGATAAAGCTTATGCTCTAAGTATACATACAGTAGGCCCTCTGTATCTGTGGGTTCCCCAACTGCAGACTCAACCAGCAGTGTACCAAAAATATTTGGGAGAAAAAAATGCCAAGAAATTCCAAAAAGCACGATTTGAATATGCTGCACCTCCCACAACTATTTACATAGCAGTTGCACCATATTGTCAACTATTTACATATCATTTATATTGTATCAGATATTGTAAGTAATATGGATTTGATTTTAGGTATACACAGGTTGTGTAGTTATATGCAAATACTAAACCATTTTATATAGTAAGGGACTTGAGCACCCTCAGTTTTTGGTATCCAAAGGGGGTTCCTGGAACCAATCCCCTGCAGATACCGAGGGATGACTGTACAAACATTTCTAGGGCTCCCTTCAGCAGCACATATACTAAAATCAGAACAAAAATTTCTATACATAGAAACTATTAAATACATTCTTCTGTCCTAAGAAGTGCTTTCATCATCAAAAATACATTTTTGGGGGGACTTCCCTGGTGGTTCAGGGTTAAGACTCTGTGTTTCCAACGCAGGGGGGCGCAGGTTCAATCCCTGGTCAGAGAACTAAGATTCTATAGGCCGTGCGGCATGGGAAAAAAAAAAAAAAAAAAAAAAATATATATATATATATATAAACTTTTTAATATCTATATGTATTCAAAAACATGAGGTTTTTGAAGCAGAGATCAGAGTTATTATTACTTACATCAAGAAATGCACCATTTTTCCCACACCTAATATGCCACAGGCGTCATAATGAGAGCTGGTGGACTAGGCGTGCACATATAAGGAATGAACCACAGGATAGGTCCCCAAAATTATAAATCTATTAGTTTGTATGGGATAGCTGACCAGCAACTACCTTCTCCCAAGAAAAGCAGAGAAAGCTTATCTCCCTAAAGTAAGCAAATTCTCCTTCGGAAGAAAAGGGGATGATCCCTGGGTTCTAACCCTTTGGAATATAAATAAATGTCTCCAGGGGGAAAGATAAACTTCCCTGGGTTTACAATCTCAATCTTGGGAATGTCTCCAAGGCTCTGAGTTTTATACCCCTTTGAAATATAAACATAAACTTCCTGAGAGTTCTCTAACAATCATTTCAGTCATCCTTTAACTTCCAAGGCTTGCCCTTTAACCCAGGCTCTAGTTTCCTTGGCTTAGAAAGCCCTGACCATGCAGAAACATGAAAATATTTACTCCTTGGTAATAAGCAGTAAAACTAACCAAAGTATTTACTTTTGCAGCACTCATTAATACCTGACAGCTACCTAAAATATTGGCTTTCAAACCCTTTCTGGAGAGCCCTAGGAATTCCTTAGCAGTGCCCCAGAAGTGTCTTTTCAGGGAGGTAGTTAAAGTAGGGGACAGAGGGAGCAGCTACAAGACCCCAATTCCTGCTTCAAACACAAAGCCATCTGCTCTCATAAAGGCTCTACAAAAAAAAAAAAAAATTTGTTTAATCTACTGAAAAAAGACACACCAAAAAATCTTAGGTAACCCGAATAAAGATCTTCAGTCTTATAGAAATAGACAAGGCCCCATTTTCACTTACACTTAAATTTCCTTAGTGGTACTCTTATACAAGTAAAACTTATAAAACATGCACCACCACAAAGTTAACCAATTAATCTGGGGGCTCCCCATATAACTCATGGGTCCTGAGAAAGTTCCTTGACGTTTTGCCTGTTGATGTCCTCTGTGTACAATGCCACTTGAAGACAGCATCTAGCCACTAACAGTGTCTTCAATAAAAGCACTATCCTACTGAGGATCCTGTTTTCTAATGCTGGTCCTCCCTAAAGAGTGCTGCAATTCTCTTTTTGTGGGAACAATACCTGTGTTACTCACAAAAGTGCTCTTATCTCTCCACAGGACTCAGACTTAGTTCATGGGGCAGCCACCAAACTCTCATATACATCATCCCAATTCACTTTTCTATTTCCAAGTAATGTAACATAAAACTTCCTTCATCTCTCTTCCCCTGAACTCACCACCATATAAATAACCAACACAAGTATGTATCTGGGAACCTCAGACCCACCAGTTCAGGCAGCCAGATTGCAATTCCCAGGTTAATACTCCGGAAGATTCTAGCTACATTCACAAAAGTTCAATAACAAGGTTGTATCTACTAATCTCTAAATATCTAAAATAATACGCTACGCAGTACCACTATCAGAATTTTACATGCTTATTTATCTATTGCATTTTTCAAAGGACGGACTGAGTGTCAATTCATATTTCTTTACCTAGGAAAAAAGACAACTGCCTGGGATTCAAGAAGCCTGAGTTCTGGTCCCACATCCATTTGCTATGTGAATTCAAGCAAGTCACTTCACTTTCCTTGGACAATTTCTCATCTGTGAAAAGGCAAGTTGCCTATTCTCAGAAGTGATCCAAGTGGAATCTGGAGTTTTCATATAATTAAGAATGTACTCTCCCTCAATCCTCATATATACCTGAAAACATGATGACAGGCACACTGTCATGTGCAATCTACCTGTCAGAATCTACCTCCCCCGTTTCTAATGCAAGTTCATATGTGTAGAAGATAGCAGTGTATCACTATAGGAAAGAGCATTCCAGAAGTGTAAGGCAAGTAAAATGACAACTTACAGTACTTCACTCAATTCTGCAAAACATTTGCCAGTTATTTAAAAATTAACAAAGGTAATTTTGATCCCTGCCACCCTCATTTTTCTGCTCCCTCCCCCCAAAATGTAGATTAGTTGATGCTATTAAAGGGGGTATTATAGGTGAGAATCACTGACCAATATGATGTGACCCACTCATTCATTCAATAAATATCTGACAGCTCAATTACCAGGCATTAAGCTAAGCACCAAAGACAATGTCCAGAAAGGTGCTTAGCTTTGGCCAGGACAAAAGTATATAATAAGGTGAATAATCTGGGATCCCCGGGCCTTAACTGCATCATAAAGCCTTGATGGCATTATCCTGCCTTGATTGATTCTACAACTTGTATCTAAAGGAAAAGCTTGATGAACTGAATTCCCTCAGAACAAACCACCACAGGAAAGTGTGTGTGTATCTCCATTCATCAAGGACAGAAGCTGAGAAAACATCCCATTCTTCGGCTTTGCCACGTCACAGAACGTGTCAAATGGACAGTGAGGAGTGGCACCTGCAAGAAGGTTCACAGGCTGAAAAGCACAGGTCCAGGCTACCCATTAGGCTATGATTAAATGAGTCCGAAAATTCTTTAAGATTCTGTTTCCTACAAGATGATTTCAAGACTCACAGTGGACTATCATTCCCAGATTCGGAGGGTGTAAAGAAAGTTCTAGAAAACTGCAGTAAATCTAAATTTCATCTTCCAAATAAAATTCTGAGACAGGTATTCGGTACAAAGATGGGTTTATACATTAGGGGTCATTCTTGAATGACCACACTTTTCTTTTTAACCAAAAGTCTGTGAAACGATCATTATTTTAACAGCTTTAGCCAAATGTTGCTAATTTTGAAAATCAGGCTCTCTGCTTCCTAACCAACTCGCTTACCCGCTTGCATTTAACAAGAACAAGGAAGGGAGTAAAGTCCGGCCTCTGCGAGCACAGCCTCGCCCCCGAGTTATTTAAAGTGCAGCCGCATAGCACAGGGAAATCAGCTCGGTGCTTTGTGATCGCCTGGAGGGGTGGGATAGGGAGGGGGGAGGGGGGGAGACGCAAGAGGGAAGATATATGGGAACATATGTATATGTATAGCTGATTCACTTTGTTATAAAACAGAGACTAACACACCATTGTAAAGCAATTATACTCCAATAAAGATGTAAAACATAATAATAATAATAAATAAAGTGCAGTCTGAAACCCTTCCTGAAATGTGGCTGGGGGTGCATTTTTCAAGGTATTTAAACTTGGGGGACGAGGGGGTAGGAGTAAGGGGGAGAGGCGAGTCCGCCCAGTAGGACCACGCAGGGGCCGGACCCAGGCCTGGACGCCGGGCAGGGTGACCACGGGGCGACCGCGGAGCCAGGGCAAGGGGAGACGCGAAAGGCCAAAGGGCGGGCGCCGGGGGCAGCGGATACTTCTGGAAAGCGCGGCGCTCTCCTCAGGATGCCGCTGGAGTGGGGAGGCTGGGGCTGGGGTCCCTTTCGCCGCCCGGACCGAGTCTCGGAGGATACCTGACTGCGGGCGGCCGGTCCACAGCCCCCTCCCGCCTCCCCGGCGGGAGAGAAGGCCGCTTCTCCGCAGAGCCGCGACCCTCGCCAGCGTCGCCAGCATCGCGAACCCCTCTGAAATCCTTCTTCCCTGCGTGAGTGGAGAACGAAGTGCGCGCGCGACCCGCAGCCACTGGGGGCGCCCACGGACACCTCGGTCCCCGCCCCCCGCCAGGTGGGAGGGGCCCGGCCCTGCTGAGCTCTCCGGGCCCCCCTCCATCCGTTCGGCAGGCGTTTAGTACGTCAGTCAGTGGCAACCAAAGCCCGCCAGACTGCAAAGGCCACTGCTGGGGCCCGGGATTAGCCCTTTCCTTTATCCTTTTTCTTCCTCTTTCCTTCACTTAAATCAGCTGAATCTGTACCCATTCGATAACCTACTTATCCCGCCGCCCCAGAGGAACCTTTGTGAGGCCGGAACCAATGTGGTCTATGGTGCTGGCGGGCGGAGGACTGTTTTGGTGAAGGACCACGAAGTGTCTGTGAACGGTTGGTCTCGACAGTTCCGGCGGGAGAACGCGCCATTGAAGTCCTCGTTTTCGTCTTCTGAGATGCACCGACAGAATTTCCGACCCCCGACTCCTCCTTGCCCCAGCCCGGGTGTAGGAGGTTGGGGAAGCGGGAGCAGCTTCCGGGGTACCCCGGGCGGAGGCGGAGCGCGGCCGCCATCCCCGCGGGACGGGTACGGGAGTCCACACCACACGCCGCCGTACGGGCCCAGGTCTAGGCCCTACGGGAGCAGCCACTCTCCGCGACACGGCGGCAGCTTCCCTGGGGGCCGGTTCGGGTCTCCGTCCCCTGGCGGCTACCCTGGCAACTACTCCAAGTCCCCCGCGGGGTCCCAGCAGCAATTCGGCTACTCCCCAGGGCAGCAGCAGACCCACCCCCAGGTAATAATAGCCAGCGTTTGCCGAGCTCTTACTGTATGGCAGGCATGGTACTGATAATCCCTTTGCGTGGATTATTTTGAATCCTCTATGAAGTGAGATACTATCGTTAGCCCCATGTCGCAGATGAATAAACTGAGGCTCAGAGAAGTTAAGTATAACTTTCTTTAGAATGCTGTAAAAAGTTGCAGAGCTGTACTTTGTTTCTATAGTCCTCCTACTTTTAGCCAGTACACTGCCGCTCAAACACAGATATCCCTAATTCCCTCTCCTTCGTCAGGGGCCTAGCCAGTTCGTTGCAGTAAATTATTCTGAGTCCCCGGTCTTCAAGGAGGAAAAAAGCGAATGAATCCCCAGCATAGGGCTCAGCTCTAGGGTTACAGGCTAGTGCCATCTTCCTACTGATGGCACCTTTTCCCTTTTTTTTCTCTTCTTTTTTTTTTTTTTCCTCCTTTTGGCCTTCGTTTTTCAACTACATTGGCTTCTGCTCTAAGGCTTCTTTCTGGTATGTCTAGGATTCTGTGGTTTACATCTTAAATATGCTTGGTAGTTTTCCAACTTTTGCTAAACCAAACCCATCCCTTTGAGTGTGGAGCTAATGAGATGGGAGGGTTCTAGAAATTTTGAAGCTGTAGGGTTAAAAAAAAAAAAAAAGTTTAATTTGCTTCCAGAAGCAATAGGGAAATACTGAGGGAAGACTACAGTACAAGTAATTTCTTACTTCATCACCAGTTTATAGTTTGGGAAAGTTATTACATTAGAAACCCAAAAGGATTTGAAGTGACAGTGGGCATAAAACTATCAATAAATTAGTATATCAAATAGGTTTAAATACTTTTTTAAAACACTAGATTAAAGGAAGCATGGACTTTGCAAGTGAACATGTTTGGGTTCAAGACACAACTTTTAACTAGCAGTGTGATCCCCTCTAGCCTCTAAAGAAAAAGTACCAGTTACCTCTACTAAATGTCTTTTTAACTGATGATTTTTTTTCTAAAGGGTTCTCCAAGGACATCTACACCATTTGGATCAGGGCGTGGTAGAGAAAAGAGAATGTCTAATGAGTTGGAAAGTTATTTCAAGCCTTCAATGCTTGAAGACCCTTGGGCTGGCCTAGAACCAGTATCTGTAGTGGATATAAGCCAACAATACAGCAATACTCAAACATTCACAGGCAAAAAAGGAAGATACTTTTGTTAACATTTCTGAAATTCAACTGGAAGCTTCATTTGTCAGGAACATCTTGGACAAAACTTTTGCTTGTAATTAAGTTGAACCCTAACGTGGTGACTTTGAATAATTAGTTGTGTCTTCCTTCATCATATCAAGTATTTTTGGTGTTAGAGAAGACATATGGTAGGATAATTTGCAATATTTAGCTCTCTGGAAGTGCCTACCAATTTTAGAAGATTGACAGTTTCCAAATACTTAACATTCTTGGTTATATAATGGACATTTGTCTTTTAATGTTTTTCCAATGTTTCAAAATAAAACGTTTTGTCTTTCTAGCTATATTGTGCTTTGTCATATGCCAAAGAATTATTAAAATAATGCTTTGTAATCACATAGTTAGAATTCGTAAGTATATATTTTGCATACTACTTTTGAAAATGAAATAGACTGTCCTTTGTCCTGTAGACAGTTCTTTATTTGTTCATAGGGAAAGGGGGTAAAGGAAAAGAATAAAGGAGATTTCTATTCATATTATAACCATTGTTCTGCATGCATATTTTATGTAATGCTTTTGTAAAAATGCATTGAAACTTGATTGAAAGTTACAGAAACCCGCTTAAGCTTAAATTAAAAAAAATATTCATACCCTTTATACTTATTTAACTGCAGAGGACAAGGATAGACCTACTTCTTGCATAGCTATATTAAAGAATTCTGCATCTGAATTTCTCTACTCCACATCTCTCAGTATTGTGGAGTCATTTTCTCTTGAGGCCCAGGAAGATAGCTACCAGCAGTCTTAAGTCACTTCCATTGTGAAGAGAACATTTCCCAGCTCTGTCAATCTCAGTGAAGACAGATTGGCCATGCTTAGGTCAAATTTTCGAGTCTTAATCCAATAACTATGATCAAGGCAGTATGGCATGATTAGCTTGGACATGGATTCACCCCTACAATGAGGCAGGGTCCCATGGTCTTCAGCCCCACCAGGCCTCCCTGGACTAAAGAAAGGCTTTCCAAAGGAAGGAATACTACATACCTATACCTACAGTAATGGGGAGAAAAATGAAAATGTTGGGGATTTTCATTTTCCCCAACTATTTAAACAAAATCAAGTCTTATAACATTCAGGCTTTTTAGATATTTTAGGGTCACAATATATGATGAAAGTATAGCTAAAATTTTATTTAAACATTCCCAGAAAGAAAGCTTTAAAAGTGAAAAGGTTACACCACCTATTTGAGCCATAACCACTTCTATTTGTATGTTAGGTCTTTTCACAGAGGCAAAACAAAATGAGAAGGGAAGGATTTTAGATTAATAAAAGCTCCATGACACCCAGGACTACTACTACCAGTTACTAGCTTGGTGAATTATTTAACTTCTCTGTGCCTCAATTTTCTTATATGTAAAATGAAAAACTTAACAGTACCCATGTCATAGAGGTGTTGTGTTTGAGGATTAAATGGGTTTACATGTGTGAAAACTCTTAGGCCAGAGCCTGGCACATAGTAAGCCCTCTAAATGGTAGCTGTTACTTTCTCACTTACCCCTATATCCTCAGCTCTTAGAATGATGCCTGGAAAATAGTAGGTGCTTAATAAATATTTGGTGAGTGGATGCAGACATTCTGATTATAACTACTATATTGCTCTGCCTTTATCCCCTATATATAAAGAGAATAGTAATTTTTCCCCCAGTGTTCTAAAGGGAATGTCCTTATTTTCTAACGTCTTTCTAGATGATTTGAGGTCATGATGTATGATGAAAATTAGAGCAATACTTTTGCATACCTTTTATTGAACTTAATAGGTAAGAAATATTATCTCTAGGAAGTGACATTTAGAAATAATCATTAAGCCATTGCTTGGAGATCACTGGATTATTGGCAAAAATAAAGGAAGTCAAGAAAGGTTTTATGCTAATGTATTCGTATCATATTTGGAAAACATTCAAATTATAATTGTTCTAATGGCTTATGTGCATTTTATTTTACTACTTTATAAGTGTAATGTTAACTAAATGTAAAATTTCTCTTCTGCCAAGTTACCAACATCTTCCAGAGGTCTGACCTTTCTGATTTTAAGAGAAACATTTTTGTCCTCAGGAAAGATACATTGCTTTACTGCTCTGGTTGGTAGTGTATATAGTTATCAAAGGTCTTTCGACATTGATATTGGTTTGTTTATATTACTAGCCTATTTTTGTTTAGCTGAGTGAAAGGAATTGATCATTCTTTTAAATGAAAAATGATTTTTTAAATTGTTCCAGAATACACGTTTTTACCTCCGCAGAGATGCTAAATAACTGTGTTAGGGAAATTTATAGTTAAGTATGCATCTTAAATATTCATATAATTAAAGAATGGAAGTATAATCTATAGCTGGGTTTTCAAACACGGGTGTTTGTACTTCTGGGAGTATTTAACTGTAAAGGCAAAGATAGCTTTAAGGGGATTTTGATCCAGATCCTCAAATCCCAGATGCACTCTTTAGTTAAAATGATGTGCTTAAAGAACATTTCCATGATCAGTGGATTATGCCAGTTCTCTTTTTTTCCCTTCTGCCTTTTCATAATTACCCTTCTCCCCCTTGACAGAAGAAACCTATGGCAGGTTGTGTTTTTCAAAAATGATGCCAACAATATTTCAGGTCCCTCAGACTCTTCCAGAACCTTGCCTCTACCTCATCAAGATAGAGAGTTATGTCCCTGCCCTTTGAACTCAAGCAGACCTTTCTGACTGCCCAAGGAAGTACGGTGGAAGTTAATATGTTTTCATCACAGGTGAAGTGTGGTCTTAGAAATGAGTTATGTTCGCCCATGTGGAGATACTCAGAACTCACATGTGTTGTCAATTAGGGAGATAGAGTGATGACAGTTTTTGTTTATAGGCCTTGCCTTTTTTGTCTCCTGACTATTCAAAAAATCATTTTTCCTGTGGGTGAATCATGTGAAAGCAAAGAGAGCATGAACATAATGTGAAGGGAAAGTCACTTTATTTTTAGGAAACAATGAAAAAGTTGCTTGC